CTGTATTTTCTCAGCTTGGTAGCTGCAAATATTCTCACAATTTATGTTTTTCATGTCTTTAATTATGAAAGTGATTTTCTGTATATCATGAACATTCTAGCATTTTATATCTTGTATTGTTATTGACATGCAAAACATTATGTTAAATGATCCTAAAGCATATTGAGTGGAGTTTGAGAGTCATATATTGATTTATCTGATTTAGGACATATATTATATAGAAGTTAAGGCAATTACTCTCTCTACTTCATTTGATAACAAATATGATACAAGGATGAAAGGACTAAAAAATGAGTCTCTGAGACAGACCTAATCACTATTCTGTGATGATATCACTGCATCTCCAAGCTGCAAACACAGCAATGGTTCTCATTACAGTGGAATTTGATCCAATGCTCACACGACAGCAGCCACGAGAGACAGCTAGCACCATCAGTCTGCATCCCCTGAGCATGTGTAATTATGCAAAGACTCCAGTGTCTAATTAGTACAATGGATTTTGGTCTCAATTCAAATTTTGCAAAGCATCTGTTTCACATGTCCCATGATGTTACTGACTCAGACTTCCCAGTATAGATTCTTCTCCCCATAAGAATTCCACAAATAGAGGCTAAACAAAGAGACATGGGAGTTTCAAGAAAAATAGATGAGTCCGATTGTCAGCTGTATGATCACAGTGCTGAAAACACCTAAAATATGTTCTCTGTAAATTCTGTGCCCATTTATTTTATTTCTATTTCATACTTACCTCGACATCACCCAATTTTCGGTTTCTTCCATGGTGGTGGGAGGGCTTAAAATCCGAACACCAAGCAGATTTTCAGTACCACTACATTGACCATAATTGCTGCCATGCCCTAAAACCACATGTCTTAGGGTTTCTGTTGCTGGGGACAGACACCATGGCCAAGGCAATTATTATAAAGATAAACATTTAACTGGGACTGGCTTACAGTTCAGAGGCTTAGTCCATTACTGTATGACAGGAAGAATGGCAGCTTGCAGGCAGACATGGTCCTGGAGAGGTAGCTACATCTGGATCCATAGGCAGTAAGAAAGTGAACTGACTTGAGCTTCTGAGACCTCAAGGCCCATACCCTAGTGACACACTTCCTCCAACAAAGTCACAACTACTACTTCTAATAGTGCCACTCCCTATGGACCATGTGTATAAACACATGAGTCTACGTGGACCGTTCCTATTCAAACTGCCACACTACACTATTTGATGGAGAACTCTGGGGATAAGTTATGTCTCCCCACTTCACAAATGAAGCCAAACACTCCCAGTACTTTAGTCATTTTCCTAATTCTGTAATAAAATAACAGACCAAGGCAACTTATGAAGGAAGAGTATATTTGGGCTTATGTTTCCAGAGTGACACAAGTCCATAACAGCAGGGACTGTGAAAGCAAGTAAGTGTCAGATATCTTTAAATTCAAGCTCCAAGCAGAGAAAGTGAACTGGAAATGGTATGACACTGCAGATACCCAAAGCTTACTACTCCTAGTGACATATATCCTCCAGCAAAGCCACGTCTCTTAAATCTTCTAAACAGTGCCACCAGCTAGGAACCATGTGTTCAAAGATCTGTTCCTGTTGGGGACATTCTCATTCAAACCGTCATACACACAGAAATTTAAAATCTTGCCCAGTGCTAGTATGTGACTAGTGGCTTAATCAGCATTGAACATTTCTCCGAGTTTGGTAACTTTATATGGAGAATAGGGGTGGTTTTCATATGAGCTGAGGTGTTTCTTGGAACAGACTTTGCTTGAGTGATCACTGATATTTCTCAGTGCTAAGGTCACTTCCACAGGATTCCCTCCACTCAACAGGCCATCTCTCTGATACTAACAGTTGTTTAAGTTCCTTTAAATATAAGGGTGGGTGAGGAAGCCAGCTTTCTATAAGTCAAATGTAGAGAAAGAGAGTGTATGAGATACAGCCTGGATCAATGATTACCCACTCCATCCTTTAGCCAACATGAAAGATCCTCCATGAACTCCTTCCTCTTCTTCACCTTCTTGGTCGTGGTGGTCCACTCTATAGCCTCTGACCACTTACATCATCGTATATAGTCTAAGTCACTGAAAGAGCTTGGGAAATGCTTTTCCAAAAGAGGCAGAAACAGGAGATAAGTTTAGGAAGGAAGGGTTTGGGTGAAATTTTTAGTCATGAGACTGAATCCAGTTCATGAGTTGAAGTTAAACTTAGATAACAGGGCACTTTGAAATGTATCAAGAAGGCAGGAGCTTGGAGAAAGCAATCCCCATCTGGTACATGTAATCAGACAGCCTTTCAAGATAGCACCATAACATGATGAACACACTCCTTAGGAAGAGTTCTGGACCACCAAAATATATACTTTATCATCAACTTTATTTTGAAGTCTGAGCTTGAAGGCAAGGTCCTTTATTATCTTTGCCAGAAGTAAATCTGCAATTTCATGCAGAGATTTTAAGACAGGAAGGAAAACTCTCATGCCATGTGGAAGTTTTAGACCACAGCATCTAACTTCATTTAATTCCTTCATTTTGAAATGCTAATGTTCTTATAGAGAAAACTGTACCAATTTAAAAAAAAAAAGGAAGTATTTCTGTTTACGTTTTTTTCAGCTGGAATTCAGAAGACAGGTTTGTTTCAACACACGTGATCAATCTTGTATCCAAATGTTGCTGGTGAATCAAGTTTCCCTGAAAGTGTTTTTCATGCTGACAGCTAACATGTAACTTAGCATGGTGTCAGTAACCATGCTCATATCTAGCTAACATGTAACTGTAACATGAATGTTTCTGGCCTGGCTAGGCCCTGCTGCGACTTCAGCACCAAATGGTCACACAGACACTATATTATTCATGAATCTGTTGGTCACTAGCTATGGCTTCTTATTGGCTAGCTCTGTCTAAATTATTAACCCATTTCTAATAATCTTGGTATTTCCACGTGGTCTTCTCTTACCAGAGAAAGGGTCTGGACCTGTTACTCCTCTTGCATCCTACATGGTGAAAGCTCAGTGACCCCACAGAGAAGAGTGCGATTTCCTGTTTTTCCTTGCTTATATTCTCTTTCTGCCCAGCTATGCTACTTCCTGCCTGTCTGTATAGACCTCCAGACCACTATGGACAGCTAGTGGCAGTTTTTGCCCAGCTAAGTCACTTCCTGGGATCACATGACAACTCCTCTCTGCCTACACTTCCCAGAATCCTCCTTGTCTCCTACTCCTACTTATCATCCTGCCTGGCCAAACAGTGTTTTATTCATCAATCAATAAGGCAAACATATACACAGAAGAACATTCCCCATCATGTAACTTACTATGGTTTCAGTCACCATGCTAATCTCTATCTGTACATCTCACTTGTTTCTAAAATGTTGCTGAGAAGAAATTTGTACAAATTTCCACATAAAAAGAGCTCACTAATTTCTAACATAGTCATGTATCACTTAATAATGAGGATAAGTTCTGAGAAATGGATTATTAGGAAATTTTGTAGCTGGATAAACATCCCAGACTACTCACGAGATGTAGTAGGTTGCTAATGGCACAAACAGCATGTTCCTGTACCAACTTATTCAACAATTAAAAATTAATAAAAAGGTAAGGGTGGTAAAAACCAATGAACAGAGTAGTCATTTATTATACCTTTTAAGTATTGTATTTACTACTTTTTGTCATTGTAGCTAAATACTTAAAGGGAGCCACCATTTTGGCTCACAGTCTCGAAGAGTTCAGCATGGTTTTTAGACCGCATGCTCTTAAGCAGGACATCACGGCTGCAGGAGTGTGTTGTGGAGGTTGGTGCAGAGAAGGCTAAGAGTAGGGGAAAATAGAAAGGGGCTGGGGAAGGATGTTCACACTCCTATCTTGCTCCTTGCCTTTTACTTTTATCATTCCCCAACACCATCATATTAAAAATGAACCGGGGTTAACCTATTGACTAAGGAAGGACATTCGTTATCTAGTAGTCACTGAAAATATCCTTGGGCATCAAATAACGAGATTTACTCATTTCTTTGGTGCTTCTCAGTATAAGAAGCTGACAAAGCCAACCATTATATGTATCATTACTGTGCCTAACTGTGTATGTGATGTGTTTACAGGACTGGATTGCAGTGATTCTGTGTTCAGCAGCATCAGCACAAATACGTGATTGCATGTTGCAGTATGATGTTACCATGGCTACCCCATCACTGGATTAGGAAATTTTCAGCTCCGCTATAATCTTTTAGGACCACCATCCTTTATGTGGTAGATCAAACTGAGCAGAATGTTGTGCTATAGTGCATGAATATACGTAGAATTTTACTCAAGATTTTAATTTAAAAGCAAAGTCTCATCTTTATATCATAGAAGTGTTGACAGCCAATTAGCAGCCTTGCACATGCTGTCCCTTCAACCTGAAATTGCTTTCCTCTGAATGACCACACAGTTTAAACTCTGGCTCATTCCAAGACTCTGCTCAATGCCAATTTATTAATAAAACATCTAACCACTTGATATAAAACGCCTGCACCTTGTGTTCATACTTCTTAATACCTTCATTCTCCCACCACTGCTTTACACAGAATTTATTGTCACCTGCCATATAATATCTACTTCTATGTTGTGTCTGTCTACCCTAGAAATGTGATGTCTGTGAGGTTAGAAACTTGAATCTGTTTCTGTTACCTCCATCCAGTACTGAGAAGAAAGCATGATACATAATAGCACTCAGAAAACACTTCCTGGAAGGAAAGGAATCACACCTGTACCAACAATCACACTCACATTCTCCCACACACATACATAAACCTCACACACATACACACTCACACACACACACACACGCATGCTCACACACGCTAACACATACATACACCACACACACCATATACACACTCACACACAACCTCACACACACCCTCACATACAGACACACATGCGTGCCCACACATGCACACACACACATGTACACACATGTGCACACACCCCCACATTACAGGACTATTTGGAGGATCCCGGGAAGTACTATTTAAGATATATCTTGTACTGCATAAAACCAAAACCCAAAACAAGAACCTGTTCAAGATAAACATAGGAGGGGCTGTGTTTTCCTCTCACAGCTGGCAGAAGAGTGTGCACATCTGCTTTTATTGCCAGCTTCCTGCTTCCTTCTTCCTCCTGTAGCTCTGTCAAGGGGTTGCTGTGCAGAATCTTGAGAAATGTGGAAGAGCAGTCTCTTCCCCTTATTCAAGCCAAACAACTGTTCTCAGTAGGTGACAGTCAGCAAAGGCATGTGTCTGTCTCCAGCACGTTCCAATAAATGCTTCTGAAATATACAGTGTAATTAGATTACTTGGAAGTTGTGCTTAGTCAGTGGCAAATCTTTTAAATATTCAAACTATTCATTGTGAGAGAACCAGAAAAGACTGTCAGAGTATTGTCATTCTAACCCTCAGAAGAGGGTGCTATTATTTTTTTTTTGAAGAACAGCACGCATGCACACACACACGACTTACAGCAAAACTAAAAGAGGACTTTTAAAAGGACAAATATTTTGATCAAAATTGTAGATAATGGCATGTTTTAAGCTAAAAAAACATCACTTTTTTTTAAACTAGGAGCATGGCTTTTGTTCAAAGGCTTTTCTTAGGAAGGCAAATTAATATGACTAGCTAATAAGTGTTACTCAGCAAAAAAATATACATTCTTGCTGCAATTCCTAAACAAACCAGAGCTTTGACACTAAATGCCTTTTCTGGTTCATATAACCATGAGGAAGGATGAAAAGGATGAACCTTCTACAACTGAGTAATTTTCAAAATTCTTTTCTACTTACACATTGGAGAGTTTACATTGAAATCAGCTATATTCAGTAGTTTAACCATGACTGTGACGAATTACTCACAAAGGAACTTAAGGAAGTTTTTAAGGTGGTTTTTTTTCCTTTTTTTTTTTTTTTTTGGCTCATGGTTAGGAGGATGAAGTGCGCCATGGCAGGGAAAGTGTAAAGGCAAAAGCATCAGGCAGCTGACCATATTGTGTCTGCTGTCAACAAGTAGACGGGTGAATGCCGGTGCTCAGCTGCTGTCAGCCATGTTCTTTTGCCTCTGTGATCCTTGGCCATGCGATGGTGGCAACACATTGGCACACCTTAAACCTCTCTGGAAACTCCCTCAAGATACGCCCAGAGAGGCGTCTCTTTGGTGTTTCAAATTCAGTTAACATCGTCACAATAGCTGTAGCAAAGACCTCTTTCATTATTGTTTAACTGCACCCAGATTTCCTGTTCTTATCCTAAGTTTTCTGAGTTGCTGTCTTTATAGTTCAGCAGATTGGTAGTTTTATTATCCCTTTGAAGCTGGGCAGTCGTGTGGACTGTTCATTTTCTGTGGGCAAAATGAATGCAAATAAGAGGAGTTGTCTGCTTCTGTGTCTAAGTGATTTTCCTTAGAATACAAATAAAAAAAGCCATGCAGACAGCAAAAGCTATTTTCTGTATTCTACTATTAGCTTCTGGGCAGAGCATATCTAAGAGGACACAGATACTCTGGAAGGTCCAGTGAAAGGGCTGTTGTAAATGAAGTCCCCTGCACACAGTAATAGGACAGGGCTCTCCCTGAAGAATGGATGTCTGCATGACCTCTTCCAGACGAACACTGACTCCCAGAAAGCCATGGTGGAGGTGCTCAGACAGTTGGAAGAGGTAATGCAGAGGACTCTGAAGAAGCTTTGAGCAACGAAATGCCTGTCCTCACACCCAGTCTCTCCCACACCCACCAGCCTTGTCCAACCTCTTGTCCATGCTCCTCTACCAGCCAGTGGACTGCAGGAGACTCGTGTTTCCCATGCTCCTGTAAACTGGATTTAGCTGAAGAGAGATTCAAGTGAAGGCTTGGGGAGGAAGCAAAAGGCAAATCTGGGATATCTACTCCATTCCATCCCCTCTGTGCTTGAGGTGTCCTCTCAGGCTGGGGTATCTGTGGGCTCCCATCTTTGCAGGATGATGACTGACTTCACTGTCTTGATTCCTACTTCCTATTTCTAATCCTAGCGTTCCCCAAGTTTCCCACTATGGCCCTTTGTTGCTATTAATTTCCTTGCTTCGACAAATTTCAGCCCTGTCTATCTTCAATGTCAGCATCTTAAATTTCTGCTGAAAAGATGTGTGTGTGTGTGTGTGTGTATGCAACTGCCTTTTTATTTAATCAGTTAAGTATTTTTAATCACTTTTTATTTCAATGGGTTAGAGTTTTCACTGTCAGATTTCCATGTTATTATTTTCCATTGTTCTAATTTGTTCTCTCATATTTTTGCTTGCTTTATGTTATCTACCTATTTAAACATTTTAGAACAATGACATCAAAATCTACTGTAGGTAATTTGTGGATTTCTTGTTCTTAATGTGCAAATCATTGGAAAATCTCATTCTTCATCCTGGTATCTTATCCCCTTCCACAGTTTGAATTTTCAATCTCATCTTCAGTGCAGACTAAGGACTGTGAGCATCCTGATTTCTCTGAGATATGGAATTCATTCCTGTTGAGCTGCTTTGGCTCTCTTCTGAGGTTCTAATGGGCTGTTTTTCACGTTGTTTCATCAGCTTGGAGTTTCTGTTCTATACTGATGATGTTAACTTGGATTTGCTTACTCAGACAGTGGTAGATTCAAATTTCCAATGATTTATTTCTCTTTTTAAAACTCACTGTGAATACACAGCAGGCTGTCTTTCTGCTTATAACTGATGAGGGAAGAATTTTCCCAGCCCAGAGTATTAGTTGCTTTTAGTTCAAGCTCCCTCATAAGGTCTGTGCCATTTCTCACCACTGGTGCCCAAACTCTCATTAACATAATACTCTGATTTCAGCCTACACTACAACTCACCTCACTTGAGAGTCTGTGTTCTGCTTCTAGAGGTAAACATTTTCTTTTGCTTTTGGATTTCTAATCATATGTTTTATTTTCTTCTGTAATATTTTATGAATTTAGTTTCCAATGTAGAACTCTGTATACATCAGGCTACTCTAGAGTAGCAGATTTAAATAATAAATCTTTCTATATAGAAAATGTATTTATAGAATTACTTACAGGCTTTGGTTCAATTAATCCGACAATGGCTGGCTATGAAGGGAGAGTCCAAGAAACCAGGAGTTGCTAAGTCCATGAGGCTTGATGTCTCAGCTTTTTTTTAGTGTACCCTGGAATCCTGCAGAAGTAGGCTCCAATATCAGTAAAGGAATGGGCTTGCTAGTAAGGAGAGGGTTAATGGGCAATGAGCACGAGCTTCCATCTTCCACTTCCTTATATGGGCTTCCAGCAGACGGTGTGGACAGATTAAAAGTGTGTCTCCCCACCTCAAGTTCTGGATCAAAGGTGAGTGTCTTCCTACCCTAAAGGTCTGGACTAGAAATGGATTTACCCACTTAAACCCAGCAAAAAAAATCTCTCACAAGTGTGCCCTCCATTGGATTGTGCCGCTCCTGGATTGTATTTCATTCCTGATGAAGTCAAGATGACAACCAAGAATAGACATCACAAGGCCCTTTCCTCAAGTATCCCCACATTAAACATGTCAGAAGAAAAATATGCTGAGAATTACAGAAAGATTCTTCTATAATGTATAGTATCTGTCATCTTAGAATAATCAGACAGGGATGTAACATGCATCCCATTAGCAGAAATAAAATAACAATACTCTCATGAAATCACAAATCTGCAAGAAGTTCATGAAATTGCGGTGGATGGTGAGGGCTGGGGAAATCTCAAGAAGAAATAGACAGAACAGAGAGACAGAACTCTACTGTGTTCCCTGGCTCTTATCAGAGCAAAAATTCAAAGTCAAGACAAAATAAGGAATTGGAAACACTTTCTTTTGCAGGATAAAAGTTATCATTTATGATTGAATGTGGGTATTCTCAGAGACATTTGCATCCACCAGCTATATACGGACAAAATAATGCTTAGTGGTATGGAAATGTCTTCATAAGGAAGTATAGGATGGTGGTTATCTCCATTAGCAATGCTGGTCCTGTCTAGATCCAGTGATGTCTTATTTTGCACTGAGTAGTTACATGGTATCCTGCTGTACTGTAGCTTGGTTCACTAGCTTTAGCTTTCATGCAATTGCTTCTTTTCCAATGGTGTCTAGCCTGCCTCTGTGATGTAAATTAGGGCTGAAAGATAGGTCAGTTGGTAAAGACCTGACCTTGTAAGCACAAGAACACAAGTTTGAGTTCCATAGGCTCTATTTAAAATCCAGGTGTGTAAGTCCTGGTAAGGTGCCCTTTTAGTCCCAGCACTGTTGAAGTGGGGACAGGTAAGCCCCTGAGGCTCACTTGATATCCAGGCCGCTATTGAAGGGGATGTAAGTGGACCTCTGAGTCTCACAGCATACAGGCAGGACATCCCCGATGACACTGGCTACCCAGGCTGCTTTGCTTGAGTCTTTTAGGCCAGTGAAAGACTATCTACAAAAAATGTTGATTGTACCTGACAAATGAAACCCAAGATTTACTCCTGGCCTCCATACAGACAGACACAGACACACACACACACACACACACACACACACACACACACACTATGATGCCAAATATTTACTTAATTTTCAATCAGATTAACAACTTATTTTGAGGCCTTTTTCTAGAAATAGCAAAGAATACAACTAAAAGTGTCTTTAAAAATAAGAAAGGTCGAAACCAGAGGAGGCTGGGAGTCCAGGGAAGCAGCTGTTCCTCCGGCAGCATCAGGTAAACAGGCCGGCTTCCCGGCCTGTGTTCCAGTGCCTGCAGATCACCTGGGAACTGCACAGAGCTCCCAATCCCGGCAGGAGCCAAGGACCCCAGACTCCAGGTCTTCTCTCCCACCAAGGAGACCAGGAAGCCAGAGGAGGCTGGGAGTCCAGGGAAGCAGCTGTTCCTGTAGCAGCATCAGGTAAACAGGCCGGCTTCCTGGCCTGTGTTCCAGTACCTGCAGATCCCCTGGGAACTGCACAGAGCCCCCAATCCCGGCGGGAGCCAAGCACCCCAGACTCCAGGTCTTCTCTCCCGCCAACGAGACCAGGAAACCAGAGGAGCCAGAGAGACCAGGGGAGTAGCTGTTCCGGATCAGGTACAACAGGACCCAGCATAGGGTCCAGGGGACCAGGTAGGAGGCTAAGCGCCCCAGATTCCTGTTCTTCTTCTCCACCCACGGGACCAGCATTTGGACAAGGAATAGAAGAACCACCAGATTATTGGACTTGCTAGCACCCACCAAAAGGGAACTCTGGTCCCCAGACCAGTAAGGGGGTCTTTCTGCACCCACTAGAAGAAGAGATGGGAAAGAGACAATACAAAAACACACTCAGCAACAGAAAAACAAATATGACACCGCCAGATTCTAGAGACTCCACACCAGCAAGACCCCAACATTCCAACGACCTTAAAAGCACTTTCATGAAAATAGCACTTTCATGAAAATAGAGGCCCTAAAAGAGGATATAGGAAAATCCCTCAAAGAAATGGAAGAAAAAACAAAACAAAAAATGCAAGAAATGGAAGAAAAAACAAACCAAAAAATGCAAGAATTGGAAGAAAAAACAAACTAAAAAAGGCAGGAAATGGAAGAAGAAACGAAGCAAAAAATGCAAGAAATGGAAGAAAAAACAAAGCAAAAAATGCAAGAATTGAGCCGGGCGTTGGTGGCGCACGCCTTTAATCCCAGCACTCGGGAGGCAGAGGTAGGCGGATTTCTGTGAGTTCGAGACCAGCCTGGTCTACAAGAGCTAGTTCCAAGACAGCCTCCAAAGTCACAGAGAAACCCTGTCTCAAAAAAGCAAAAAAAAAACAAACAAACAAACAAACAAACAAAAAAAAAAACAAAAATGCAAGAATTGGAAGAAGAAACATACCAAAAAAGGCAGGAAATGGAAGAAGAAACAAAGCAAAAAATGCAAGAAATGGTAGAAAAAACAAAGCAAAAAATGAAAAAAAAATGGAAGAAGAAACAAACCAAAAAAGGAAGGAAATGGAAGAAGAAACAAAGCACAAAATGCGAGAAATGGAACAAAAAGCAAACCAAAAAATGCAAGAAATGGAAGAAAGAACAAACCAAAAAATTCATAAAAGGCAACAAATGGACAAAAAGATAAACAGAAAATTGCAAGAAGCAATGCAAACACTGCAAGGGTTGAAAACTGAAAAAGAGACATTAAAAAAAACACAATCTGAAGAAAGGCAGAAAATAGAAAAGCTGGACAAACAGTCAGGCACTACCGATACAAGCATTACCAACAGAATAGAAGAGATGGAAGAGAGAATCTCAAGTGTTGAAGATACACTAGGAGAAATGGATTTATCAACCAAAGAAAACCTTAAATCCAACAAATCCCTAAGACAAAACATCCAGGAAATATGGGACATCATGAAAAGACCAAACCTAAGAATAATAGGTATAGAAGAAGGAGAAGAAATCCACCTCAAAGGGGCAGAAGGCATATTCAACAAAATCATAGAAGAAAACTTTCCCAACCTTAAGAAAGACATGCCAATGAAGGTACAAGAAGCCTACAGAACACCAAATAGAGTGGACCACAAAAAAAAATCCCCTCACCACATAATAATCAAGACCCCAAACATACAGAATAAAGAAAGAATATTAAGAGCAGCTAAGGAAAAAGGTCAAGTAACATATAAAGGCAGACCTATCAGAATTACACCTGATTTCTCCATGGAAACTCTGAAAGCCAGAAGGTCCTGGATAGATATTCTACCTACAACAAGAGACCATGCATGCCAGCCCAGATTACTATACCCGGCAAAGCTCTCAATCACTATAGACGGAGAAAACAAGATATTCCATGACAAAACTAGATTCAAGCAATATGTGTCCACTAACCCAGCCCTACAGAAAATTTTGGAAGGAAAACTCCAACCCAAGGAAGCTAACTACAACCAGAAAAACATAAGCATTAGAGAATCCCTCTCTACCAACAGCCAAAAGAACAAAGGGGTGAAATTCCACACATAATTCCACCAACAACAACCATTGCAAATCGAAGAAGGATGAGCAATCAATGGTCATTAATATCCCTCAATATTAATGGCCTTAACTCACCCAAAAAACGACACAGACTAGCAGAATGGATTCGAAGACAGAACCCTTCCTTCTGCTGCATGCAAGAAACACACCTCACCCTCAAAGACAGACATTACCTGAGAGTTAAAGGTTGGGAAAAATTTTTTCAGACAAATGGACCCAAGAAACAAGCAGGGGTAGCAATCCTAACATCTAACAAACTGGACTTTAAAATAAAATCAATCAAAAGAGATGAAGGAGGTCATTACATACTCACCACAGGTGAAACCCACCAAGATGAAGTGTCTATCCTGAACATCTATGCCCCAAATACAAAGGCATCCACATTCATTAAAGAAACATTATTAGAACTTAAATCTCATCTAAAGCCCCACACAGTTATAGTGGGAGATTTCAACACACCACTCTCACCACTAGACAGTAATACCAGACAGAAACTCAACAAAGAAGCAAAGGGTCTAATAGAAGTAATGACCCAACTGGGATTAACAGATATCTATAGAACATTTCATCCACATAAAAAAGAATATACCTTCTTCTCACCACCACATGGAACCTTCTCAAAAATCGACCACATACTTGGCAACATATCAAACCTCAGCAGCTACAAAAAAATTGGAATAACTCCATGCATCTTATCAGACAACCATGCTTTAAAATTAGAATTCAACAACAACACAAATTGCAGAAAACCTACAAACTCATGGAAATTGAATAATGCTCAACTGCACCATCCCTGGGTCAAAGAGGAAATAAAAAAAGAAATTAAAGACTTCCTCGAATTCAATGAGAATGAAGACACAACATACCCAAACCTATGGGACACTTTGAAAGCAGTGCTACGGGGGAAGTTCATAGCACTAAGTGCTCACATGAAGAAACAGGAGAACAGTTATACTAGAGAATTAACATCACAGCTGAAAGCTCTAGAACACAAAGAAGCAAACTCCCCCATGAGGAGTAGACGCCAGAAAATAATCAAATTGAGGGCTGAAATCAATAAAGTAGAAACCAGGAAAACAATACAAAGAATCAATGCAACTAAGAGTTGGTTCTTTGAGAAAATCAACAAGATAGACAAACCTTTGTCCAAACTTACCAAACAGCAGAGAGTGAACATGCAAATTA